TAAAAGTATGTTGTTTTACATCAAGTTGATCAGCTCCAGCAGATACTGGGTTGTGATGCTGTTCTTCCTTTACTCTTGGTATGGTCACTAGAGACACTTTGAACCTTCCTCAATCTGAGTCCCTTGTTGAAGGACTAAGAACAAAGGAATGCCTTTCCCAGTGTTTGACAGCCCTTTTCAAATCAGTTATCGTGAAGCATTTGATTCTCTTTTGCTTTAGGTTTTAGTGTTTATACAGTAGGGCAGCAGAAGGAACCTATTTTATTGTTGTTCAGAAATAAGTTATTTTATTTATATCATGGTTTAATGGTCTATGGACAAATCAAATATCATGTATAATATCATTTATCAGATAATATTTATTGAACAGCTTCAAAGAGTCTCTTAATATGTCTTATTGATGAAAATTACTTAGTTGCCCTAAGTGCTTCTACTAATACATCTTCATTCATCCAAACTATTTACTGTATGCACTGTAGAATATGTTGTTCTTGATGGGGTCACTCTGAATTCAGTATCATTATTTGTGGCTAAAACCATGATATATTTCCAATAAATTAAAACAAGGAAAATAAAAACTAAGATATTTAAGATCCTATAAGGTTATAGATGCTCATTAAACTAATAGGTAAAAATGACGATCATTGCTTACTTATTTTTCATCTTTATGGAGCTTAATGAAGCATAATGTTTATCGACACAATATTAATTTTTCAAATATTTCAATTATTTCAAATATTAATTTTTAAAATTTGGGCATTTTATAATTTCGATGATTAGAATATTTTGATTTTTGAACTAAATTAGAATATTGTATGCAATACAAACCCTCCGTTTTGTGTGTTTGTGGCATATGTATGTATGAGTATGTGCACATGTGCGTGTGTGTGTGTGTGTGTGTGTGTGTGTGTGTGTGTGTGTTGTGGCGACTAAAGTTTTAAAGCATGGTTCTCTCTCAGTTATTCTTCATTGTTAATTGTCGAGACAGAGTCTCTGAACTGATAACCCACTGATTTGTCTAGACTGTCTACCCACTTATGTCCTGGGATCTGCCTGTCCCCAGCAATCCCACAAACTCTGCTGGGTTACAGTACCCATGAGCAGACTCAGCTTTTATGTGGATGCTGCAGATTTGAATTCAGGAGCTCAAGCTTGTGAGCAAGGTATTTTCGTGGCCGAATCCTCATAACTCTGCTTTAATGTTATGATACTAATGTGTTTTGTTGTTATTTTTAGTGAATATTGACTTTTGAAGATAATTTTCCATCAAAATCTATAAAATACCCTCCTGAGGTGATAGGGATGGTGGTTTATGTCTGTAATCCCGTTTGGGAGACTGAAAAGAAAGCCATTCCTGTGTTAATAAAAAACCCAAACGTCACACAGTAGTTATGACAATAATAATAATGACGGGGGGGGGGTGGTGGTGGGGGTAAAAAAAAAAATAATAATAATGACAATAATAACATAAACTGATGCAGTAGTTAGAAATGTGAATGGAAGACGAAATGAACAGACAGCTTAACAGTTCAAGGGATGAGCATCTTATAATTACATTTAAAAGTGGAATGTTAGTCCTGTTGGAAACCTCTTCAGCTGTGATAAAGTCAACTCTAGCAACACCGGCTTCTTGACTTGACTCTGATATTACAGTGGGTAAATATTAGTGAGATATGTTCCTAATGTCATTAGACAATTGATTTTCCTTGTTTTAATTAGTTTTTTTCTTGCAATACATTTTGGACTGCAAACTCCTCTCTAACTTCTTGCTTTCCTATCTATCCAACTTCAGGTTCCTTTTCTTTTTGGTTTTATTGGAGTCACGTTTTTTTCTACTGTAGGTTTTCCTGAAATTTAAAAACGAGCTCACTCATTGAAATTATTTATTTTCTATTGGTATTTTAAGTTTATTTACTCCTCAAGTTTTTCTGTTGATTATGATATTGCTCACAATCATTCATTGCTTCTGCCAGAGATTGATTTCTTATAAGTTACGGTCATCTTTACTTATCTTAATAATCTTCTTTCACCAAGCACATTTCAACTCGTCTTTGAATACTCTATGTAGTTTTTCAGTTTTATCAGCTCTCATAGGTCTTAAATTTATTTAAGGTCATATTGAAAATGAATAGGGAGCTGAGGCAGAATGTCCTGTTTCCAGATATCCCTCTGACATCTTTTTTTCTGTCTAAAAGAAGCTTCACATAGTCGAGAAAGCAGTCTTCCGAATCTGGTAATATATTAAGGTATTCCATCATCAGGTAATGACCAAATTCCCAGTTATGTCTGACTACGTTACCCTTTAATTTTTCCTTCTTTGGTTAGTATCTGTCAAGACAGAGCATATTCATTTCTTTGAAATAAAGTTTGAGCTGTTTTCTCAGGGAAAGTATCAGGCCTCATCTAGTCACGGTAGCACTGACTGATGTCCAGGGAGACTGAGCTGTGGGGCACAGGAGCAACATGGCAAGAACAGTGGTGGTCACCAGTAAACAGGAAACACACAAATGAGGAGGGCAGTAAAGAGATAAAGTGATTAAGACACGCAGTATAACTCTGAAAAGACCCAAAGAAGTATGTTTTTATACTAGCATCCCCAACTGTGAACTCCATTCCATCCTCAGGATTCATGCTCTGATCGCTGTCATCAGGTTGGTGTAAGAACTTGTGCCCCAAGAGCTGAGTATCTTAGTCTCTTTTATGTTTCTATGACAGAGGGGATCATTTAGCTTAGGGTTCAAGGCTGAGTCACAGCACGTGGTGAGGCATTGACATTGCCTTGAACATCTTGGAAGGGAGAAGAACAAGTAGACACATGAGGAGAAGAACAAACACAACGAGGCGTTGCTTTATTGAGACACCTTCAGTAGAATGCACCCTGTCTTTTAAGAAGTGTGAATGTCTCTTGATGACTTGATTGCTCTAAAAGCCCCCAGCTCCCCAAACCAATACAATCAATGGCAACCAGATTTCAACAATCCAGAGGAAATGTCCATAACCTAACCATAGCAATGGAGGAAAAATATGGATTCTTCAAGATATGTTTTTGTCCTTAATCCTATCATAGAATAGTAAGATGTTCATAGTAAGATGTGCAATGTATTAGTACAAGGTCTGCTTATCTTAGAGTTATTTTTATTCCAAGACATTCCATATTGAGTCTCCTCCAATTACTTGATTCTACATTATCTAATTTGATAGAACTAACTTTGATAAAATATAGTTACCAGGAACTATGAAATCCATCTTATTTTGCAAAATGTTTCAGTTAATATCAAAATCAAGTCTTGAGTTCTCAGTACAAACTTCTATCCAAGTCATTTAACAGAACAATAATTTTTATTATTTATGAAGTTATTACCTATCCTTTATCTATTCATCCATCTACGTATCATCTCCCTATCTATTACTAGTAACACTGTTATTTTATGTATTGCTATCAAATAGCCATATAGAGTTCAATCGCCAAACGTTTTTATCTTCATTTTTTTATTAATTAGGGTATTTCTGAACTGTAGTTCTATTTTCTAAAGAAGATACATGAAATATTGACTATTGTAAAAGAATTAGAGCAAAGTTATGATTTTGATAAGTTTGAAGAGAAATTAGAGGAAACCCATTGTTTCAGCTTCTTTTCTTGTTGCTGTGAGAGCATCTGGCTCACGGTTTAAAGTCACAGTCCACGTGGGGGGATGTTAAGGTGACAAAGCTCGATGTGCCGGCTCATGTCACATCTGCGTCAGAAAGCAGAAAGCAAGATGAGGGTTCCTCGGTCCCTTCTTTGCCGTCCAGTACCCACAGAACTGTGCCTCTCATGTGTGAGGGTTTCCCACCTCGATTAAAATAATCATGGCCACAGGTATGCTCTGAAGCCCACCACCCACAAATTCTAGATTTTTGTCCAGGAGAAGTGATCTCTTGTGTGACTGTTTTTTATTGCTGTTTGTATTTACAAAGCTTTATAGAACAATGATAAACTTACATAGAAATAGCTCAGAGAACTTAATGAAATGAAGCCTCTGTCTACATGCTAAAGAGAAATAAATGTAGAAAAGAAGTTGTTTTACTAATCTTATACTGTTGCATATAAATGGCAAGTAGAGACCATTCTGTATTTGTAGAGGGGACCCATTTAGTTCTAGAATGTAAAGCTACAGAGAAATTTACTTAAATCTGAACAGTCTGAGATGGTTCCAAACTTGGCTTTTATCCAGAGATTGATGCATGATCATCTGTCATAAAGATACCCGCAGTGCTTACTTCTGATTTTATCAAACCAAGCAAAGCTTTATGCATTTTCCTTGGGGCTTTGTTTTGAGGAAGAGTGTTAGCATGTCCCAGGCTGGTCTCAAACCTCCGTCTTCCCCTCAGTCTTCTGAGTGCCCAGATCCTTGTGTACAACCTCACACTCAACTCCTAAAATGCCCCCAGTTATACTCGGTGGAGAGTACATTCAACACGGAAAGAATGACTCTGCTTTATGGTAAAAATAAATTTCATGATTCTCTTTATACAGTAAGAGCATCGTGTGCGCACACACCCACACACACACATAATGATGTGTGATAGTTGGAAATATAAGTTTTGTAAATCCCCAAAATTCAGTTGAAAAGATACTGTATTAACTTCCATGTTTACCATAGAAAAGAAATTTGATGATGATTAAATTGTTGCGTTTTTGTGTACTGAAGAAACTTGAGTGTTGGAATGACAGTAGTCATTTCAGAAGGAACTGATTTCAGCATGTATATTACAGAGACATGTGGAAGTCAATATCTTTATAGAACTCTTCATGAAAAAATTAAGTTAGGGTTGAAATGAAAGAAAAATTGGAATGGAGAGAGTAACATGTTAAGTCGATTTCTGACTCCATTTAATTTTCATGTAAACTTTAGAATGATAAAAAAAATCCCTAGTACCACAATGCAGTGGGCAATGACAAGAGGGATGACATGATGAAAGAAAGGTGTCCTCTAAGTTCATGGTTTTTGCGCCAACAGCTCACAGTTCTGTGAATGATACAACTGTCCCTATGGAAACAACTGAATGCGTCCAAGGCCAAGGAGAAGGTTACAGAGGAACCAGCAATACCATTTGGAATGGAATTCCGTGTCAGCGCTGGGATTCTCAGTACCCTCACCAGCATGATGTAACTCCTGAGAACTTCAAGTGCAAGTGAGTCGATTTTGGAAACACCACAAACTTCAGTGGTTCCCAGGGAAATGGGCAGATGGGGTCTGCTCACGTTTGTATTAGCAAACCTCATTATTTGATGGCCTAGGTCTACTTAAGAGAAAAATGGGGGCTTCAAATAAACAAAGTGGGGGGGAATCCTATGTGGTCCCTTCCTAGACAGAGAAACTAGCAGTCCATGACTGCTGAGGAGGTAATTAACCTTATCCATGGGTGAGCCCCCTGACCCCTGACTGAGTACCCAATACAAAATGGTCAGCCCTGAAACCGGGTGCACACAAACAATAAAATGGATTAAGCAGTCTATATTTATATTTGCCCATACATAACAATAATAGTAAAAGAAAAAGAGGTCATTGATTTGAGTGTTGGGAGGTGACATGGGAGGGGTTGGAGGGAGAGCACATAAGAGTAGGAAAGATGGGAAAAAGAGAAGTGATATAATTATATTTTAATTTAAAATGTCAGGATAAGTAAATACATAATATAAATTAAGAATAATACTAGCAATTAAGCATATGAAAACCCAAGGTTACCTTTTTATCTAAGAAGAGGATGATTATAGAAATTTGGTTTGTAAACTGCTTACTTGAAACTGAACCATGAAGAGTTAAATTCCGCATCTTACAGGAATTTATATTTTCTTTTCTTAATTAACTAATTTGACGAAAGTAACCTGACATAATTTCCTCTCCAGAGTTGGGGCCGTTATAATGTTACTAAAATGTGACACAATATTTTGCTCACAATATTGGTTTCCTATTTACCCTTTCCAGTCTAGCAGAACCAGGAATATTGGTTAGATGTCTCTGCTTCTATTAAACAGGATTTGCTCCCAGGCATATAATACTGTAACTGAGCTATGCTATTTATGATGAGTACACATGAATTATCTAGTCTTCAATTCCCTTCAGGAATTGTAAATAACTCCTCAATTAAATACATCAAAATATAGAGACAATTTGGGCAGATCTCTGTATTTGTTTGGATCTATTCTATGCTAAGCTGGCAAATTTGGGGGATGGTTCTAAAACTAGGCCCATGAAGACATTTGGAATTTTAGATTCATTTAATTATCTTGCTTTGAATCAAAAGTGCAAAATAATTTAACTGAGCAGTTATGTATTTAGTATTGTAAACTTATGTGAATTAAATACAAAATATTACATATATATAAATACTTTATATAGAGAGAAATTTTAAAATGTAATTTTATGATTTTTTTAAAAAAATAACAATTTTATTCATGTTTTCCAGTGATAAATTTGATAATTGTAGGAGTTTGGGTAGGGGTTGATCCTTTTCCATGATATGATTAGCCACTGGTCATCTTCTCTGATATTTTATTGAGTTTTGTCAACAAGAAAATGGCCCAGAGGATCTACTAACCAGGGCTCATAGGGGATCACAGAGACTAACCGAACAATCAGGGACCCTGTATGGGTCTGACTAGGACTGTTGGAGGAGGGGGCCTCTTGTTCTTCCCAGATGCTCGGCTAGCTTACACCCAAAATAATCACACAGAAACTGTATTATTTAAATTACTGTTTGGCCCATAGCTCTAGCTTCTTACTGACTAACTCTTATGTTAACTTAACCCATTTCTATTAATCTGTATATCACCACATAGCAGTGGCTTACCGACAAAGATTCGGCATGTCTGAATCTGGTAGTGGCCCCATGGTGTCTCTCTGACTCTGACTTCTTCCTCCCAGCATTTTGTTCAGTTTACCCCGCCTACCTAAGTTCTGCCCTATAAACAGGCCAAGGCAATTTCTTTATTCATTAACCAAGAAAAGCAACACACAGACAAAAGGACATCTCACACCATAGGACCTCTGCGAATATGTTACTATTGTGTCCTTTGGTATTGTGGAACCCCTAACAGTGGGAGTTGGGGCTCTTTCTGACTTTTTGCCAATTTTTGTTGCTCTTTTCTTCCTACTCATTTGCCTCATCCAACTTGAAAATGAGGTGATGTGGCTACTCTTATTGCAACTTGTTATATCATGCTTTGTTGAGGCCTGTCCTTTCTGAAAGAAAAGGAGGAGGAATGGAGAAGAAGGGAGATGGGAGGAGGGACTGGCAGGAAAAGAGGGAGGGTAAACTGTAGTTTATGTAATATATGAGAGAAAAGAAATAAAAAGAAAAAAATAAAGTGGGGAAAGGTAATGGAGAAATGATGTAATTATATTTTTTATTAAATTTAAGATATATAGTTAAGAAATGAGTTTCTGTCAGGATTGAGTTTGACAAGATAGATTTATGTAGACAGAAGTTTCTGTCCTACCCAGTCCCTCAGCCATTCACTCCCAAATAAACACATAGAAGCTTATATTAATTATAAATAGTTTGGTCTATTACTCAGGTTTATTACTAACCACAACTCTTGCAACTTAAATTAACCCATAATTCTTGTCTATTTTGAGCCATGTATCTTGGTAGCTTTTCTTAGTAAGGCATTCTCATCTTGCTTCCTCTGCATCTGACTGTCAACTGCATCTCTGTCTTTCTTCTTTCCAGAATTCTCCTAGTCTCCAGAATTCGCCCTGCCTACATTTCCTGCATGGCAACTGACCAATCAGCATTTTTTAAACCAATATGAGTGACAAATCTTTTCAGTGTACAAGAGCATTATTGTGCAACAGATTTACTCATTAGTTTTCTGACTAAATGCAAGCTTATGCCTCACAACTTTGTCTGTTTCTTAGATTTCATTTGGATATTAAAGAGATTGAAAAACACTTAATTGTGCTGACACAATGACAATTCGTTCTAGAAGATTGTACATGCGTGCGTCTATGTTTTGTTCAATATAAACCTTATCAAAATAAAAACATAGATGATGATTTAATGCTTGTAGGGTAACTGCAAACAGTACCACAGTAAGCAGATGAAAATACCGGTAAAATAAGTTGAAATCTAAAGAACTTTAAGAGACATCTTAGGCTAGGGAACTCTATGTTTCTAATTAAGACAATGATGAAAGATATACATGACCTACATGGACAACTTACTCTACTCTTAGGGACATGCATTATAATTGACTCTTAATTGCTTAGCTATACCTATAAAGATAATAAGTAACCTCTCTAAACTGAGAAACACTCTTCGATCAGAAGAAATCTACACACCAAACTACATGTATCAAATAAGTACATAAATCAAGGGGAAAAAAGAAACCTTTTGATTTTATTAAAACTTGGCATAGTTTCAAATTCCATTTTAAATGAGAAGTAGCTATTAGTAAGTTTTCTTCAACAAAGAGAATTATGAGTTTCCCCATCATTGATAAATTTGTTATATATATTAAATATATATAGTGGGAGTCAAGATTTGCTACTCAGAGATAACTGAGCACTGATCTCGCTCTCTAGTCCCTCAGGCAGCTGCATGCTTGGAGAACCCTGAGATTTGAAGGACAGTGTTTATTTAACAGTCCTGGTGTGTGTGCTGTATACAGAGTTCCAAGTTATTATCACTGTTCTAATCAAGCCAGGCGTACATCTGGGATCCGGGAAATGCAATGGTGATAACTTTGGGCTTACCTTAACGTGCTTCCTCTCCACAGGGACCTTAGAGAAAATTATTGCCGCAATCCAGATGGGGCTGAATCACCGTGGTGTTTTACCACTGACCCAAACATCCGAGTTGGCTACTGCTCGCAAATTCCCAAGTGTGATGTGTCAAGTGGACAAGGTAATAGCTGACATTTTGTGGTAGGGGCATGATTAAAACCAGGGGAAATGCCTAGAAGGGGAACACATTCAATTTCTTGTTGAACTGCTCTTGAGGCTCACAAGGAAGATCCTTGAACAGGAATGGTGTGTTTTAGATATCCATTTCTTCGATAATTCCTTCAATATTTATTTACTCGTGTATTTAGTTAGCTGTTATTTAAGGGATTATGTGGTTATTAAGGAATTACAAAATCAGTACCAGTACACAAAACTAAATATCTTGCTCCAGAGAACTGCTTTCTAGTAGGCAGAAGCATGAAATGATAGTGCGTTATTATGTAAATTTGTGCCTAGATACCAGAGACAAAATGAGCTGCAAGTGAGAAGTGAGGATGTTGATCTCTTATGTTTCCAAGGTTTGGGTGGATCTTCTGTGTAAAGGATAGGGGGATGGATTTAAGGAGAGTTGGGAGGACAGAAAACTCCGCCTCCCATCCGTACAAGAAAAGAACATTCTGGGAAACTGTAAATGCAAGTAGTTCAAAAGTTTAACAGGAAATCAATTCTGTCACTCTGGCTGTGGCCTAATGAACAAGATGGGTCAGCAAATGAGATTCTAAAGACAATAGGGTAAATGGCGTCGGCCTTGCAGGACTGATAAAGGAGGCTGAGAAGTTAGGCGATCTGAGTGGAGCTTCAGCTGGATCGCACTGGATGCCTTATGGAAAGAGAATTCCCAGCGAGAGTTTCAGATAGGCGGCCAAAGAAACTGCGTTTCAGCAGATCCTGCACAAGGAAGTGACTGGGACCTGGGTCTTAGCGAAGATGAGCTCATTGCAGGGTGTAAGGAAAATGTCTTTGTCTTGGAATCGTAAGTACCTTAAGACAGCTGATTCAGGGCGCAGTAGTAGATGGATCGAAGTTCACTCTGTGGAGATAATTGGTCACTGGTGAATAACGATGTATTCTGTACACGTGTTGATGTACAATCAATTGGAAATTATATTCTTTATGATCATATTCTAACATAAACTTAAAAATCATGGCTGTTGTTGTGAAAAGTTCAAGCCTACCTCCAGCTCCATTTCTTCGGCTCATTGCCCCTATGTATTTTCTACCAGGGTCAGCGTTCAGGAGCGGTTCTGACCACAGTCTGTAGGCAGAGAGAGGGAGGGGCTCCTTTCCTTTCATTTCACTGTTTATCACGCTTAAAGGTCAGCTGGAAATAAAGATAAAGCTAATAATTAAGGGACATTTGCTAGCAGCTGAGTCTTCAGCCTCCCTCTCTCATTCACCAGGACAGTTTGTGACATCCTTGTAGGGGAAGATGGACACAGACAGCTGTTTGGAGAACTTTTGGCGCACTTTGAGATGTTCTCACACACACGGCCACCTACAAAAGACTCAGGGAACAAAATATATGAACATTTTATTTAATGATTAAATAGATAATAGTGCTTATCTAATAAATATATTTAATAAAGACGAAAAGTTTACTTTAATGAATAAAGAAATTTGCTCAAATGATTTAACTTGAATGAGCTTGAATTAGACACTCCTACCAACCTTTATACTTTCCCATCTTTTCTCTCCTTGATAATTTAAAAACTTATTACTTAACAATATATCTTCCCTAATATAAGTAAGAGTCTGCTAGACTTGGTCAGCAACATGCTACGAAGGAAGCACACAGCCACTACTCAGGAAATATTGTCAGCCAATTCAACATTCAATTGCTACATCAGAAGCTATGCCTATGATCTATTTATCATCTGTCTATGTATCTATCTATCTATCTATCTATCTATCTATCTATCTATCTATCTACCTATCTATCTATCTATCTATCTACCTATCTATCTATTTATCTATCATCTATCTATTATCTATCTATCTATCTACCTATCTGTCTATCTATCTACCTATCTATCTGTCTATCTATCTATCTATCTATCTATCTATCTATCTATCTATCTATCTATCTCCCTATCTACCATCTGTCTATCATCTATTCTTCTAAATCTATAATCTATTATATGTCATCTACTGATTATCTATTACAAGTCTACATTCTATAATCTTAGCACAAATATTTATTACATGACACTATAAATTGCAAATTCCTTTCTCTGTCTTTATATACACATATATGCACACACATGTAAAGCAATCTATATATATATATGCATATACTCATATAAACTGATGTTACTCTTTCCTTTTGGGTTAACAAGTATAAGTTTTATCTGTAGATGAGTAAGTTGGAAACATTTTCCAGTTGGACAATAACAGAAAGTGAAAAAATTATTTAATTCCTTTAATATCTTGTTGCAACAGTATCTGCTAGGTTATGAAGGTAGAGTTTTATATATTTAATCATCATAATATATGATATATAATATTATATACTAAAAGAGTTGAGATGAATGAAACTAAAAGAAAGAAAACCATCATAGTAAAAGCATACAAAAATACACCTCGGAAAAATATAGACTCAATGAATAAATTGAAAGATTTAAAAATTAACAAAAGCTAGTTCCAGAACAGCTACTGTTACAAAGAAAGCCTGTCTTAAAAAAAAAAATTAAAAAATTTGCCAACAGTCTGCTATCCAACTTAGGAAGGAGAAAAAAAGATAACAAAACAGCATTTGCCTAAGGAGAGAAGTGACTTCCAGAACAGGCAATTGGGAAGCACAAATAGTTAAATTTTTATGAAAATTCTCTCCATCATCCCATGGAGAAGGAAGTGGGATGTGGAAGACCAGACCACTTCTCATCTGAGACAGTTTCACACAATCCTAGGTAGATAGAAATAGAGACTCAGTATACAAAAAGAATTTTCAGTCAATAAATAATAAAGAAATTAATTTTGATGTATTTCTTTGGTATATATGTATTTTGTTACTTATTAAAGATAACATTTACATACGAATTATATACAAATGATTGTTTATAGAAAACTCTAGTCCTGACTGAATGTTTGATGCTGCAGTTCCCCAACAACGTCAGTGTTTCTCAGAGTCGGTGCATGTTTTCCTTTTACAGTTTCCAATGTTGAGAAGACCTTCACATTAATAATTAGCACAAAAGGCAGAAGTATGTTTAAGGCTGCTTCAGAGAATTCACGGATGCTATCAATATCAAGACAAAATTCACTTAGCTACTTTATAAAATTCAAGTTTGTAATTCAAAGCCCAATTAAAAAAATAAGCATTTAGATGCAAAGACACTAATTTGAACTTACATGCTGGATGATGATGACAGGGAAATGTTTGAGCATCAAAAGGAATGGGACACACACACATACATACATATCATAGTGTAATGCATATGTATCTCACACATATATGAGAATAAATGGAATGTACAAGTCTCTAAGCATACCACTAATTCTATTAATATTAAGTGGAGGAGGCGGATGGAGAGAAGAATTACTAGAAATAGAAAAATAACCATTCTATGAGCGACACATTAAACCTGACTCACGAAAACCCATCATCCTATGCCTCAGCGTTTGGTGAAATTTTGTTTGGAAATAGGATGGTTACTCAGTTTAAAGCCTGGCAGATTTAGGATCTGCTGTTACTGTTACGTGCAAAGAGAAGTTTTTCCTTTCCATCACTTACCCAAGTGACCAGATACATCAGCAGTGATACGCCAAACTGACGTCACGTGCCGAGGATGTCACACGCAGAAGAGCACAGACTGTCACCAGGACCCTATTCCTGTCTTCTTTAACTTGCTCTCATAGTAACTGAGACTGAAAACATTTGTGCAGCAGCTGTCCTGGGTGACTCAGGATGTCAACATCACGAGAAACCCAAATCTAAACACAAGTAACTGACTGGGGTAGAATTTTATTATGTTATTTTTGTACCAATGTTTGTATGCTATTTTCTGCACAATGAAACATTTCTAAAGAAAATCCCGGGAATTACAAAGATCACTTAAAACTTTTTATTTCTTTGGTGTCATAAGGAGCCTCCTTTCTGATTTTTTATATGAGAGGTGTTATTAATTGGGGTGCTCAAATTGATATGAGCATTTACAATTGGGATCAAAACTGGACTGAGACTAGAGATATTTTATTCTGGTATATTTCTCATTAATTCACACAGATGTTAGCTTGTGTTTTTATTATTGTGTTGATTTTGATGGCTTAACGAGCTTACAGAGTGTGACTGTGTTCTCCTTTACAATAGTTTTGAGTCCTGTGTGTTTTATACCTAGATTGTTATCGCGGCAATGGGAAGAATTACATGGGCAACTTGTCCAAAACAAGGTCTGGACTAACATGCTCAATGTGGGACAAGAATATGGAGGATTTACACCGGTACATAGACTTCTTTCTTCCTACTCACAAAATTTGATGATAGTAGTAATTATGTATATTCAAATATATACGCATTTATTGCCTTCTATTCTTTGATAGACGGAGCCAATATAAACAATAAATTGATTCTATCTATATAACTTATACCATTGTTCTTTGTCTATGGAATGCTTTTAAATATGTAATCTACCAGTGTGTATTTGTGGAACACTTAATATTGTATTTGAAATATAACAGTTACTATGGGGGAAAAGAAAGTGTAGATATGTCGTTTCAATCCCAAATTTCATGAAGGGTCTAGTCCCAGTGACAAAAGAATTACATAACACAACAAGAGAGTACAGTCGGCAGGTCAAGGGTGATAGTGCTAGTAAAATTAAGATTAACAGTGGGTTGTGACATAAATGCATAAGTGATTATAAATAAATAAGTGATATTTATTTATGCATAAATATGCATATTTATATTAAATATCCTCTTTAAGAGAATTTATGGAAACAGATTTTCCACAGTAGCTATAGGGTATAAAACTTTAAAGTCACTACAGAAATACTCTTGTAACTTGAGAAAATATTTTTGAAGAACTGTATATAATTATGATGGATATTTTATTAAAGATGGTAGCATCCACATGGGACTAGAAATAGTGTTAGCACTTGTGAAACCATAAAGGAAACTTGCACATAGTTGTTGCTTAAAACGGATTACTAGTAAATGCCTCAGGCTATATACACCAAAATAAAAGAAAAAGGTATGACATTTTATTAAATGCTTGTCACACAGCTTCTTACATCATTTTTGTGGTATTTTATCATCATACTATTATCTGAAAGATTTTTCTATGTGTGTATAAGAAACCAAGCACTCAGAGAAGCTGAATCACTTTCCTTCAGGTTGTATTTTAAATGTAAAGTTCTTCTCTTCTAAGTTGAATGCTACCATGGTTTATATTTTTTAAATTAATTGACTTCACGAGTAAATAGGGATAGGATATATAATTTTTAGACAGGGTGTGATTACGTAATACAAGCTGTTTTTTAGTCATAATCATTTATGACTCAATTTTGAAACTTTTGAGAGCACGGGTGTGCACAAATACATCTGTTGGTAACCATTCTTAATTAGCTGACATTAGCTTTAATTGTGTGGAGGTGACCAATTAAAAGTCACTTCAAGACATTGTTGAGGAAACTGGGGAATTACTGAGCTTCACAGTAGCATTCTGGCTTAGAAATGAACTACTCAAAGACGAGGTAGACATAATAGTTGACTCTGAGGAACAGCGCTTGGTTCCAACACCCCCTCTGCTATTCACAAGTCATGTGGTTTACAATAATTAATTTTCTCTTGGATTCTTGGTGTCTCCACGCATTAGTATAGCATTGTCTTAGAGCCTCCTTTGCAATGTTCATTCGATGATGCATAAATAACACCACAATCAAGCATACGGGATGTGCACTGTTCTCTGATTAGTCTAGAAAGTGAACCTGCATCTGGAAAGGTGCTCCAAGTTTCAGTGTGCAAGCGCTTGCCAGTTTTATTTTAAATCGTGTTTAATTGTATTTAAAAATAGTAGTAATTAATAACACAAAACATTTATCTACAGTTTTTAATGACTTGATTAGAAGTCACTGGGTAGGACTTGGCTTAATTAATATTTCTGAGGGAAATGAAAATACAAACTTATAAAAATGATCATAGTCTTATAGAACAACACCTTTTTTTATTTTGAAAAGTTCACCTATAAATTGGAAAAATTTGTTATTTAGCTTTCAGCCAGAAAACTCTAACTTACTAGTATTAGGCCAAGGAAAATTTAGAATTAAGCTGGCAATTTATTAAAGCTTTCCTCATCCATTGTGGCAATTCTATTGCTAGTGATGATGCTTCCACATGTGGAAGATGGAGAGCATTTTACAGTAACTTGTATTTTCTACGTATTTTATAATTTAATCTTCAGTATCTACCTGCTTTGCTTTTAGATAGTGCTTCTCTAATTTTATGCATAAAGTTGTTATTTCACATCAAGGGAAATCAAGGTCCCCAAATCTCTCATAATTTTGTATGTACAAAGTATGGAGCCCTATTCCATATTCCCTAAACTTTTAAACTGAAAATGTGTTTTCCAAGCCATGGGGGCAGCCGCCAAAGTTTCTGTTGAGTACATAATGAAAGAGGTGTGTGAAGATCATACCTTCTTGTAACATTTTGCTTCTCTTGGCTGGAAGAGGCACGTCCTAATGTCCAGTTTGTTTTGATAGTCATATTTTCTGGGAGCCAGATGCGAGCAAGTTGAACAAGAATTATTGCCGGAATCCTGATGATGATGCCCATGGACCCTGGTGCTACACGGGGAATCCTCTTATTCCTTGGGATTATTGCCCCATTTCCCGTTGTAAGTACATGTCATGTTCTTTCGCGCTTGAAATATTTCAAATGTACTGCATCTCCACTGAAACAGCTCCTTAATCAGGGGTTACAATGCTGTAGGACTCTGCAGTTGATTCGACAAAAGAGGCTCCCCAGGAGCGATGCACACAGCCCACAGCATGTCCCCTCTCTTCATCCTCCCCTCCCCTCTCCTCCTCTCCCCTTTTCTTACTTGCTCCTTTCTTCCTTGATCACTATTATCATTTCTCTTATAGAAAAGAAGCAATTGTGCTCATTTTACAGTGTTTATGTGCCGAAAAAATTCCTATTTGGAAGAAAAAAAAACAGTAAACTTAAAGCTTCATCCTAGCACCGACATTACCTCATGATTCTCTGGCTACAGCAGAACTCTTAGTAAACTTTCTAATTCTGCAAAGTCTGTGGGACCTGAAATCTTTAGCAAAATACTAAAACAAATGGAGATTAAGCTCTTCTTTTCTAATTGAAAGATAACTTTTTAAAAAGTGTGCATGTAAAAATGATAGGTATAAAGTATCATTCGATATACTTCATACAATCTGTGTGCCATATTTAATGAGCTATACCAATAAATAAAAATGCAAGAATTCGGGAGAGAATTACAAAACCAGCCTTTTAAAATAAATGCAATTAACAATTAAATGAAAAGGAATTAAAACCAGCATGAAAAAAAGGCTGAAACTTTATGAGAAATCATTTCTTAATATCAGATAAAAATGCTTGACAGTACTCAGGATTAGTGAGCATACAGACAACACTAACGCCCCAATGCTGCACTGCTTTGTGCAGTGGGAAGTCCTGTCTAGAAGCCAATTCAGACAAATGTATCAAAAGTAACAATAACACATACGGGATTGCACTACAAACACTTTCAGGGAGGCTGATGTGTGTAGTTGTAGGACACTTAGTTCCCTTTTTGCTATTTACTACGTGACCAGAAACAACATTTTCCCCACTAGTCCTGAAAGTGGGGAAATGCTTTCAGACACGTACAATGTCTCACCACCGAAAAGAATTTTCACAAATGAAATGCGCACAAGTGCACACGCACAAACACACACACCGAAACAGAAATATATTGCACATACCTTAATGAGTGAAATCTCCAAGTCAGAAAACAGGTGGTAAGAGAGTATATTTGCAGTCTTTCAACAGCTCTGTGTTTATAGCAAGTTTGATGGCGGAAGTTCAGTCACCAGATCACATGGTGGACAGAGAGAACCAATTCCTGAGCACTGGACTCTGTTCACCATATATTTCCTATTGGGTGTGTGTCCACACATACATAATCATGTATACATTTACATGCACATAAGCATAACATTAAAAACAAACCATTGCATTGAAGAAACAATGTCATTTTGAAAAATGTTATGCCAACACATCTATAATTTTAGCAAAAATTAATGTTGAGTTAAAGAAAGACTTTTTCTTCGGGTATCTGGAAATGCAATCTCGTTTCATGGAAATTAGTTATAATAATAAGTGAGTTCCTCATAAAGAAGCTGTATTTTTGTTATTAAATTTTTATTCCCTCTGGTTATAGTCTTTCAAGTTAATTGATCTTTTCTAATTATTTTCATTTTTCTTGATTATTGATTTCATATATCCTAAAAAGTTCTCCAAAATAAGATAACTTCCATGTTTCAACACTAAAACAAACAAATCTTCTTTACCAGAGACTAGAATACAAAAATGTATTATTAAATTAAAAAACTGATATTGTTAATCTTTTTGCAGTTCTGGGGATCAAATCCCAGGCTTACAGGCCCCATTATCACACTCCTACTAACACCCGCCCCATTTTTCCTTTCTCTGAACATTCATATGACTTCACTGTGTCTCTAACATTCTATGATTAAGAATAATAAAGGCTTATATATTATATAGTCATGGATGGAAGGGTAAAGAAAAATTCTCTGGTTTTCAAATAGATCATAGCAATTTCCCTGTTAAGTCTAGCTCAATCTAGGACAAATGTCTAGACTAGAGGAACTCAGGGCTTGTGGCTTGCTTTGCATGCTTAAGGGAGGAAGCGCTCACTATTTTCAGGATTTCAGAAATGATATTCTACTGACCTTGGCAAACCAAAAATCAGCACGATGCTGATGAAAGATGCAAGGGTGTTACTGGTGTTGTATCAAATGCTCGCACCAATAACTCACTTTTATTTAAATGTGTACTGAACACTAATTCCAATAAATATTTTACACTGTCATTTTTCCTACTTGTATTTATAGTCAGGATTTATTTACATTTTCTCCCTGTTGAAAGGCTAATGCAATTTATCTTTAGAAGATTTGAGCTCTTATTATTTATTTAACCTCAGAGACAATATTCATCATTTTTGCACTCTCACAAAACATGTGAAGATTTTTGCTCTTTAAAATTGCCGAACATTATCTACCATGTATTGTGGTGTGGAGCTTATCAAGTCAACAATAACACACAAATGGCTGTATGTTTTGTGTATTTCTGTGCACACACACACACACGCACACACACACACACACACACAAATTCTCTCTTAAGTAGCTTAAGTAAATTTTAGGTGTTGAGAGTGTAGTAGTTGATTTCAACTCAGATTTCTGAAGTAGAAAAACTATGGCTCTACAATTGTCTAAGTCAAGTTACTTATATACTTATATATATATATATATGATACATATTCTGTGTTTGCAAAAATTGTGTAATATGAGTAGAAATTTTACTGGGCTGTTGTAAATAGAATCTGTAAGTACAAAAACATTTTATTTATTCATTCTCCTGTAATGTGTGCTGCTATTGTATACAAATGCTTATATAATAAGCTAGTTATACAAATTATCTATATGCTGTCTTTCAACCTGAAGTGGTTTACAATATTGAGTAAAGCAAACTTATAGAACACTATAATTATGTTGTTAATGTATATTACATTAATATATAAAATAATGATGGGAATATAGATGTTTGGATGGAGACATAAGATATAAACATACTATTTTGAATTATAACTGCAAAATCGAACTGCAGGAAATGAGGTTTCTTCATGCTTTCAGTAAGATCCTCTATACTATGTTTCTGAGCTGCTGAGAGGCATACACACATGAGTGAATGCACACACACGCAAGCGCACACACACACACACTTCCAATCTTCTGTAAGTAAATATTTGTAATTGGCAAGAATATAAAATGCTTTCCTTCATATTTAAGGGAATCATGGAGACAAGATTTATAGTCTGCCTTGATTAGACGTGAGTTTTAGGGAAGGTAGAGGAAGGTAGGCAAAGGAAAAGACATGTGGTTAGTGTTCAAAAGTGAGCGGGAAATACCCAGAGAACAGTTCCTCAGTGTCTTTCTTATAGTATGTACCAAAAGAACTTCCTATGTTCAGACATATCCAGAAAACTACAGTCCCCACAGTCTGGCTGTACATGACATTTCAGTTTATTTTTAAGTTTGAGAATCAAAATAACTCTTAATTGTTATTAAGCCACTGATTACTAAAACACCAGATATAAGATTCCCTTAAATATTTCAAACTAAATAAAAATACAACCATGAAGCAACCACTTGTGAAACTAATCATATTTAATGTGGAATTTAGTATAGAGTGTGTGTCTTAATCTTTGTTATGATAAGGTAAGGAATGAATATCAAATTACTCAAACATTTCAAATCATTAACTTGAGTAGCAAAACTAACATCGTTTCTGCGTTAGTGGCCTCAGTGCTTGCTCTATTATGGACTGAAAACCTAGGCCTCGGAGGACTCCCCGGGAACACCCCACATAAAATAATGATTAAATTTATGTTTGCTGTATCTTTATCCACCTATAATACCGCAACCTGGAGCGTGACCATAAATAAAACCCCTCTAGTGTGCATAATTCTCTCACGTGCTCCCATAAATAACAATCGCATTTGCATTCCAAAGGTGTCTATGTGTCATTACGGTTTGGTTGCTGGATTATCTGAGCTCAGGGCATTTCCAGGGATTAACGGCCAGCTGGGTCTCAACCGTGCCTGGCTGAACTCTGTGCCATCAATTCTGAAGAGTTAAGACATTAAGACTCAGGAAATGTCTTGTGTCTCATTCATTGCTGTTCAAGTACTTCCAAAGTCCTCGCATCCTTTAAGCCTTCCTGTATGCAGCAATTCAACCCCAGTAGAGAGTTCACGGAAAAGGTTTATTAAGTCATGAGAGTTCAGGTAGAGTTATGTGTAGTGTCCAGTGTTTTCTTTTCCAGTGTTTTCTTTTTATCATAGTTTTCTTTCTTCTTTTACAAACATCTGGAAAAGCTAACTTTTGGCATAGTCTATCAACAAAAATAATTATTTACCTCATTTTCTGCAGAGATGACATTAATTTCTATTTTCTATTATTTCATAGGTTTACCAAGCACATACAGTTTCAATACTCTTCATTCAAGTGTAAATAAGAGTAACCTTTAGAAAAAAAATGCAAACCAATCAAATTGCACTGAAAATAAGACAGTCAGTCTATATGAAGTACCCACTCAAACGATCATGAACATGAGTGGTACTGTATGGAAAAGCCTTGGGGTATAGTGCTGAATATCTTGCAGAATGAGGTAATCTCCAGCTACTGTTTGGAATCCAGTCTGTCAAAGGCCACGAAGCCACACACACACACACACACACACACACACACACACCCCTGCAGCCTTCAGAGTCACAAACAAGACTTTCCCACATCCTGAAGTACCAAGAGGGAGATGATCACCATGTTAGATAGGAAGTAGGACAGAATTATTCAGAAAATTTATATTACATTCACAATGTATTTTGATGTTATAAGCAAACTATTGATTTTTAAGTGAATTAAATGTCAGTTATTTTAGGAAATTACAACAAAGATTTTGATGTCATGGCTTGATTTTTATACAGATTAATGAATATGTGTACATCAATTGTTATATATCATAAAATTCATTTCTACAGGTGAAGGAGATACCACACCTACAATTGTGAACTTGGACCGTGAGTAGTATTCAAAACATAAAACATAATTGATTTTCTGTGTGTCACAAATGATTTCATTATTGTCCTCATAGAATGAAGGTTAAAAAAAGTTACGAAGAAATCTTTGGTATATATGAAAAGTATTTCGCACTATAGTAACATCCCATCTAGTTAATGTCGTTTTTCTATTTTGTTTTAAACTGTGTGTATGTATGTGTGTCAATGAGGGGGTATGTGCACTTTGAGGCAGCAGCTCAAGAAAATGAGACAATGGTGTCACATGCCCTGGAGCTGGTGGTGACCCAACTGATGTCAGTGTTGGGAACCAAACTCCTCTGCAAGAGCTGGGCTTGCCGAACCGTGCCTCTGACCTCTTTTTGCTTTTATTCTAAAATTCACACTGTTCTGATTATAGATGTGAAGTAGTCAAAAGAACTGCGTATGACTTGAAAAATGTATTTGCACACTTTTAATTTGAGGGACTCCATATACAGTGGATCACATTTATACACATCCCCCTCAAAGAGACAGGAGAATATTAAAGGCAGAAACAAAGAGGCCAGGTTTTGGACAGTTCCCTAGCGTCTACAATCTGTCCTGTCCTAAAGCTCTTACAAGCCCCGAGATCTGTTAGGTGAGAGACGGGGGCGTGTGAGACAGTGACTTCCTTCATCATGAGAACAAGAGCTTCGTGAAGGCGTGCACTTGGTTTTCTCTTGTTCCTGCTGCTGCTGCTGTTTTTGTTTTTTAATTTTTTTCACGCTCTTCTTAGCCCAAAAGAAGTTAGTCAAGCATTTTGTTGTTTACTAAAAAAAAAAAAATGCGGATGTACATATCATGGACTTGACAAACAACTCTGGCCTTTCTCCAAAATGCTGTTTAATGCCGTCACACTAGTTGTATCTGTCTAGCTATCATAGAATTTAATAGAAGTTATAGGTACTGAGTAATATCATGACCAAGTGCTCTATGTGGTCTTATTTTTTAGACCCTGTCATATCCTGTGCCAAGACAAAACAGCTGCGGGTTGTAAACGGCATCCCAACACGGACAAACGTAGGATGGATGGTTAGTTTGAAATACAGGTAATTATTAACGGTCGCAATCCCAATAGTCTGAATACTTGCAAAAGCATTTTTCAGCTTAAGACTGCAAGAAGACTGTGCTCTATACAAGATACTAATCTGGGGATCAACAGCTGAGTTGTGTCCTTACCAATCCTTATAATGGATTGTACAATATATGCACATGATAGTCCTTGTAACTTGTAGCAAAGTTTCCATTAATACTGATTGTATGTGACACTGATTTGGATGAACTGGAAGAAAATAACACATAAGACCTATTTATACCTTAATGTCACCATGATAGCTATGGTACGAATATTAATTTTCAAATCTAGGATACTTTAAACTTATGTTCTAAGATGATTATACACAATCACAGATATGGCATTTTTAGTTTCCAATATCACTGAAATGAATAATAGCAATTTTAAAGTGTTTTATTATGGAAATCAATAACCTAGAATAATAATTAGAATAACTGGGTGGTTTTGATTTTTATAATCAGCTAGATATAGAGTTTTTAATATGTTTACTTTCAAAGGTCTTAAGAATCACTAATATGATCTCTGTAAAATCAATATACAAGTTATAAAGAAGTTTAGAATTGTCATAAAAATGAAGTATCTGACTCACATTGTTCAAATCTTATGTATAGTAGTCCAAGTTCTTAGTAACCACAGATGTTTGGTTATGTTCCCGAAACACACACTGAGGGGAATAGAAGTTAAGGCTCAATATATACTGTCGTCCTCCTGTGTGGCAAGCCGTAAATAACTGTCCCTTCAGCTGGGTGTTCTGAGTGTCGGCTCTGAAGCCACAGGCAGCTGTGTCCTTGGAAATGTGACTAAGAGAGTTCTGTAGTCCTTCCATATTTCTGCCAAAAAAAAAATGGATTTACAGAATTTCTAAATCATCAAATAAGCACACTAGTTCTTATTCTTCTGTACAAATATTTAAAAATTCCTATATGATTTATCTTGAAAAATTATTTTGCTTTCATAAATGAAAAGCTATAGTAAGTGATCTTACTTAGACTTGGCAAATTTATCTAAATCCAGTCTCCTGAATGGAGATGTTGGAGGGGTAGTTCCATGTAGAAAGCTTTCTTTTAGCATATCCAGGGCCTCCACAAAAAGCAAAACCTGAAACTACTAAATAATGGTAGAGTGAAAAGGTAACGGTGTAAAAGTAAAAAATAGGATAAAACATTGTTACCATTGGGTGGTTGTTCAGAACTGTTTAATGAAATCTCAAATTATCATTTTCATTGTCAAATGCTGAATTTTAAATGCTTATACAGTTTTATTCATTTATAAGTTTCCTTTATTTGCAGCATTATTATTATTATTACCATAAGCATAAACGCATGTATTGGGAGTATATTCTGGCATATGGTGACGACTTCTCTATTGTAAACTTTGCCCTAAAATTTAGTCACAGTGTGAAAACAGTTACGGATGCCACACTCACCAAATACCACCCTCAGACAAAAGAACTGCTGTGTATTGTTCTGAGTAGATTGGTTTTATTCTTCTTGACAGTTCATTCAGTTTTGATAAATGAAGTTATAGGTTGTCACTAATTGGCAGGAAGTTTCGTTTTTCGTGAAGATGTTACTAGTTCTTTTCTCTTTCCATAGAAATAAACATATCTGTGGAGGATCTCTGATAAAGGAAAGTTGGGTTCTGACTGCAAGACAGTGTTTTCCATCCAGGTAAGATAGTTTTTAAATCAACATTTATTTGAGGCATCTACCTATATCTTCTACTGTGATTTTGATACTGAGCATTTGTTTTACAGAAATTTATCAGAAGAAGGAACCATTTAGTCTACTTTAAATGAAAAATAGTGTGTGTGTGTGTGTGTGTGTGTGTGTGTGTGTACTTGACATGGCTTGCAGGTTGAGGTCAGAATCAACTCGTGGGAGTCAGCTCCCTCCTTCCGCCAAGTGCATCTCTGCAATCAAATTCCACAAGCATGCTTACCCGTAGAGTCATCTTGTCAGCCCTTTCTTTTAAAATTCTATTTTAAAAGTTTGGCTTTACTGATACTTTCATATTTAGTGCTCATTCAGTGTTTACTGTTTATTCAGCTGGTTTTTTTCTCATGATTGACCTTAGTCTCACTTGGGGAAAATATTTCTCTGAATTACGTAAAACACCATGTTCTGACTTCTCACTTTTACTCAGTACTTCTAGAGCGGTACTTGTGATGACCAGTAGGCTTCCTTGAATCCTTGCATCTTTTTTTTATCTAGCTTGAGGACCAGCTTAGGGATAGTTTCAAGGACAATGACCTCAGCAAAGATAAGGAGGCTGTACTTAGAGCTTCCGTCTCAGTTCCCGTCATACCACTGGGTTTCCGTGAATACCTTCAGCCTTAGCGATAAGCCAAATATATACACAGCTGAAAGGAAACAAAATTTATATGCAAATTATGATTCCTGTAAAGAACATGAAGAATTTGTAACAGGTGTCTTTCCGTATGGCAAGTGTAATAAAACATGTTAGAAACCGAATAGCCAGAATTTGTGCAGCTTCAAAGTTTCCTCTGCTTCAACACATTTGTGGTGCTCAGAATCTCCCTTAACAAACGTGTTGCTATGTGTTATACTTTGGATCAAAATTTAAATGTGGTGTTTATCCTTATACGTTAAAACGACAATGGAAATGAATACTAATCTATACTTAGACACTATAGTTTGTATTTCTTTTCCTACCTAGAAACAAAGACTTGAAGGATTACGAAGCCTGGCTTGGAATTCATGATGTCCATGGGAGAGGTGATGAGAAACGTAAGCAGGTCCTGAACATTTCCCAGCTGGTCTCTGGGCCCGAAGGCTCAGATCTGGTGTTGCTGAAGCTTTCTCGGTGAGGTTCTAGACAGGATCTCCTATTTTCGCGGAAACCCGGATTACTGAAGCACTGCTTTGCAGCTGAGTTTCTTTTTCTCATGTAGATTCATCATTATCTCATATATCATGTGGATGCACTTGTGTGTGCATGTTATGTGGACATATAATAGAAAGAGGTATAATATGATTTTCATATAGCAGTAGAAGAATTTCACACAATATTCTACCTACCTTAATACTGAAGCTTAATGACAATTATTTGACTCAGAAAAAAATCAGAGTAATTCTTTTGCACAGTGAACATTTATTACAGACTAATAAATATCTCCTTAATATTGCATATGTCACGGCATGTCCATGTTTCTGTAGAATGGTATTCCCGGAGTACTCATGCTGGATTTTACCTTTTCAGGCCTGCAGTCCTAGATGACTTTGTCAGTACAATTGATTTACCCAATTATGGCTGCACAATCCCAGAGAAGACCACTTGCAGTGTATACGGCTGGGGCTACACTGGACGTAAGCTGATTTTTAAGACATGAGGGAATGTAGTTATCGAGCATATGAATGCCTTTTCTTTTCTGATTTCCTTGCTTTTATTCATTGCTCATTAACTGTATATTTTCTGTGCCGTTCCAGAGATCAACTCGGATGGTTTATTGCGAGTAGCCCATCTGTATATTATGGGGAATGAGAAATGCCGTCAGTACCACCAAGGCAAGGTGACTCTCAATGAGTCTGAACTGTGTGCTGGGGCTGAAAAGATTGGATCGGGACCATGTGAGGTAAGAAAAGTTGTTTAATAAAGTCTGACTATCTGACTGTCCATCTGTCTGTCTGTCTGTCTCCCTGCCCTGCCTGCTTATCTATCTATCTATCTATCTATCTATCTATCTATCTATCTATCTATCTATCTATCTATCT